GTGGAGAGCTGGCTCTGCACTTGGGTCTTGAGAGGAAGCCGTGGTTCCCCCATAGTCCTGGGTGTCACCTGAGCACTTGATGGCTTGGCTAAGAGGGCCCAGGAGCCTGACCTGATCAGGGCAAGTGAAAGCCAGTAAAGGAAGTCTGAGAGGACGTGGCTGTTCCACACCCGGGCTCGAAAATGCAAAGTCAGTGAGAAAAATTATTATTGAGTGAGCCAATGAGCAGGTCCTAAGAGCTGCTGTTTTGGACAGAATGATACTCCTACCTGCTTCCAGGAGAATGGGGGTCTCTGTCCCCCCCCACACTTTCCACCCCCGCCTGTCCCGAGAACTGTTGGGTATTTCCAAGTCACCTTTTAGACATCACCACATTGGAAAAATTGCTTTGTCTTTCCATTGCATCATCAATAAGATAGAAATACCAATGGCTTGGCTGTCCCCAGGGTCAGGCAGCTGGGATAGACAGATGCTCTGAGAGGCCTCCAGGAGTGGTTCAGATTGACTGTTCCAGCCCTAAGCTCATGGAGGTGGAGGCTGCAGCAGGGACAGATAATGAGGACCAAAACCCGGGGTGGGGCTAGGGCCCACCAGCACCTCCCACCAGTGCTGCAGAAGAATCGAGGGTGGGTGTGTGCTTGGCCTTCCGGCTCCCGCCATGGTGGCAAACGTGAAACACAGGTGAAGAAGATGGAGTCTCTGAGGGCTGGGGCCCTGGGTGATTTCCCAATGCCAAGTGCATGGGTGACTAGTGTGGACAAGTGACATGAAGGAAAAATAGACATGCACGTGCATGCGTGTGTGTGCATGTGTGTGTGTGAGCATGAGAGTGCTAAGTCACAGAGATGCTCTATTACTGCAGTATAACCCTGCCTCTCCGGTTGTGCTCACACCTGCCCAACTTGCATCCTTGATATCAGGGGACTCCTTCCTAAGCCACTCTGATGGCGTGCGAACAGCAACTCCAAATGACTGGAGCCTGTACCCCACCATTGTGCATTTCCTGAACTCGCTACCTTCACATTTGAATGCACTGTCATCAGGTCCTCATTTGCTCCTTCTCTCCCCTGCATTTCCAGCTGTGGGGCTCAGAGGGGCTTCAGCCAGCCCCCTTCCCTAAGCCGAAAGCATGGGCAGGGTCTCCACATCCTTCCTTTTCCTCCACACCCCATCCCACTACCTACCTCTCTCACGTACCTCTGGTCCACCATCACCTGGCCCTCAAAGGCTCCCAGCCCCTGCAGTACCAGCTCCTGGCTGCTTCGTCTCCTTCTGCCTCCACCTTCAAGCTGCCCCACAAGGCCTCTGAATCTGTCCCATGCTCCCCGTCACCATGCACAAGACCAGATATTTGAGTATGATCCACCTTGCTAATGAGCTATATAGGGAGGCTTCCTTTGCTGTATTTGAATGTATGGGAGATGCATCAACAGCCATAAATGAATTATTACCAAAATTGATGCAAGAATGGACTACAGAGGTTCTGCACAGACCAGGCTTCCAGAGACCCAGGCTGTGTGCGTGCCTCTGGATGCCTCCAATTTGTCGCTGCCTGACTTAGGTTTCAGTGCCCAGGACAGAGTCGGTCACTCCCATGTCCCTTCTAAGAACAGCACAGAGCAGGATTTGGTTCCCTTGGCTGGGTTGCTGTCTTCCCATTTTTGGACAGGCTGGGAGTCTGTGCATGCACAGTAAGACAGTGCTGGTTACTGATGGGCAAGCTCCCAGCAATTCCCTCCCATCTGGGGTTTCTGGCTGTACCCTTGGCAGCAGAGCTTCTGGTGGTCTAAGTCTGAAAAGATCCATTTCTAAGACACAAGCAGAGACTAAACTGTCCAAGGGTAGTGGTAGGAAATCAGTGGCCTCTGGAAGGTGGAAAGTCCACAGCGGTTAATGCGAGTGTGGAGTGGCTCCTTTGAGACCCTGCTGGCCTCTGTCTTGCCCCTCCCTCCTCCCTGCCTTGGCTGAGAGTCTCCTCTTTGCCCCTTAATAGCCCCTTCTCTGGGTCTTTTTCATTTATATATGTATATATGTATATATATATATATGAAATATGTATACATATATGTTTCTTTTCTGTGTGTTTTTCTCCTGTGCACTTTTGCTGTCTCTCTATTTCTTCCTCCACATCTATTTTTCTTCCTTTATGTGTTTTTTTTCTTCCTAATCAGGCCCCTTCCTCATTTCAACAACATGCCATAAAAATATTTTGAAGTATGACCTTGCATTTACTGAAGTTGATTTCAATGAAACATTTAAGAGCCTGTCAATACTTTTGGGTCTCTTGCTTGCCCTTTTGAAAAAGGACTGAGGTTGATGAACAGCACACGAGAGAAAGAAACACTGCTTGTCCCTGTTCCAGAAGATGAGCAGGTCGCCCCCCCGATCCTGGTACTTGTGCCACCATCAACCCCCTCTGGACATAGAGGACTTGTGCTCTCTTTCTCCTTCCAGTTACACACAGAGCTGTTCTAGGAACCAGGTGGTTCTCCTGTGCAGTAGAACTAGAAAAGTGTTTACTGGCTCAAGAAAACCGTTCAATGCCCTGTGTCCTGGGCATTCAGGTTCTGTTCACGTCCCTCCTCTCCAGTGGCCGTGGGTTCCATGTTCCCGTCAAATTTATTGAGTAGTGATTGTATGTGGATCCTGTGCCCACTGGTAGAATCTCCCTGCATGATCGTGTGTTTTTTTCCTTGTAGATTTCCTATGCAGAATAAACGTGGAGTTGTATATAAATTCTCTGGGAGTTGAACTTTGAAGAAATATTTATTAGTATTGACTGCCTGATTAAGAACCCAGAGGAGTCAGAGCATGTCTTATATATTTTCTAATGTCCTCTATCTCGGTAAGGGTCAGTGAACTGGAATAATGGGTATGATTCCAAGGTCCATTCTGAAATTTTAAATTTCCTGTGCATGGAACACATCCATGTGATCTTTTTCCTAAAGCCAAAGCAAATGAGAATGACCATACCCTTTCATTTACCCAAGGGTTTGGAATTCCATTTGGACAGAATTCCTATAAGCCAATGGATTCATAGATCAAAGTCATTACAATTATTGCCAAGGCAAACCTGCAGTCTAAGACCAACCAATCAGTAGTCCAGTGAGGGGCTCTCACTGAAATGCATTTGGATCCAATAAAGATAGGAAAATTCAAATACCCTTATTGAAAATATTGACCGGTAGATCTCTTATAGTGCCTCTACTAGTTCATAATTCAGTTAAGTGAGTTAAAAATAACACCCACTGGATTTCTAACAGGAGCCTCATGGTGAAAACTCTGCATCACAACCCAGGTGCAGCAGTTCTTTAGTTCACCCCACACTCCATTCACTGGTGGTGATGCTGGGTCCCAGGCTAGCTGTCTTTCTAGTGTTCAGACATGCTGTGGGTCTCTTCCTTTGAGTATAATCCACCTTGCTAATGAGCTATATAGGGAGGCTTCCTTTGCTGTATTTGAATGTATGGGAGATGCATCAACAGCCATAAATGAATTATTACCAAAAGTGATGCAAGAATGGACTACAGAGGTTCTGCACAGACCAGGCTTCCAGAGACCCAGGCTGTGTGCGTGCCTCTGGATGCCTCCAATTTGTCGCTGGTGCCTCTGAACGTAGAGATTAGAAGTAAACCCAACGAGGACGGTGAGTTCATTGATGCTGGCCATGGCTCTGCCCCATGTTCTGACAACGCAGGCTTCTCAGGTTTGCAGTGGTACCACACATTTCATTCTGGTCTGAGAACAGTGCATTCCATGATGAAAAGATTTTCCCCCAACCTCCCCCAGAGAACCAGTGTGGGGGTCCTTAAACCCCGTGGCAAGCTCTTTGCACACTTTTCAGGTAGAAAGAAGGGTGGAGCAGAGAAGGCGGGGCTGGCACAGAAGTGGGAGTGGAGAGAGGCAGTCACTACTGCGGTGAGCTGGGCTTCACCAGTTCGTTTGAGTCACTGTGCAATTAGTGAAGTTTGTGTTGGAGACACAGAAAATTAGATGGGACTTTGGGTAAGGAATTAAGGAGATGCGATGTAAAGAACTTCCTAACATTGTTTTTTTCCTGGTGAGGGGGTGGACCTTTGGGGGTAAGGGCTCATTGACTATGCTATAAAAGAACACTTATATTTTAATAGTTTCACAATTTGAGGAATAATAGAAGGAGGAAGCAGGTGCCTATTTAAATGTGGACAAGATTAATGGTGACTTCTGCAGGCCAAATTTCATAAGGTGTTCATGGCCCCAACAATAACAGAGAAGTGTTGGCAAGCTTCCCTTTGAATTTTAGCTATAAAATCTATCCCCAGGGACAATGTATAATTTCAAAGACAGAAGAGTCTGCATTGTCTGTTTATTTCATACCCTTGTGGTCTTTAATATTTAAACTGCAACATACACGATTGCATTTCTTATTTTGAGGGAGAATTGATTTTAATTAATTCTTTTTTTCTTCTTAAAAACAAGTATCCTGTTTATTTTGTTTAAGAACTTAGAGCCTTATACCACTGCTCTGTTTCAAACCTAGGTCATTACAAGCTACCTCCACCTTGAACACTCCATTTTTAATAGTTCTGTTTGAGATTTCTGAATAGCATCCAAAGGGATCGAGGATCATAAATCATTCTTTCCTCTCCTGATATTATTCAGCCTGTGCATAACCATACATGAGACTTCAGCCGACTCGGGCTAAACCTGCTAAAGGTCAGGTTTGAATAACTGTGGGTCTTGATGCCCCCAGTGCAGCACCACAAACACAATTCATTTTGACTCTTCAGCTCCATATGTTCAATAACAATTTTGCCACAGAACCTGACCCCACGCAAGACGTACTTTTGAATAATGCATAATGTAACATTAACACAGAGAGCTATGTGTCAAATAGACCTTGGCTATGGCAACAGTGGAAGGCGAATCAGATAATCACAAGGGGATGCAGTTCGTGGTGTGCCAGAGTTTGTGGTTTCCCACTCAAAACCAAAAATGAAGAATAAACATAAGTTACTCACTCATGGATTCGGTCAACTTGGCCATGGTTGTAGTTCCTTCTTTGTGCTTTTTCCTGGAGGTGAGAAGAAAAGACAACTATGTATAAAGCATGTCTTAGATAGGAAATGAACATGATAGGTCTGCTCTATCTTTCTCCTTCATTTTTCCTATGTTAACATTTGGTTACACTGATGAAAGGAACTTAAAAATCTCATATTATAGACAGACGATCCGTTAGTCACAGAAAGAAGATTTTTTAGGACATTAAAAAACTTGCCACTGCTGTTGGAATCAAGCTCCTGCCACAGTGATCTCGGTTATATATAATCGGTGACGCACGACCGGTTTCCAGGCCCCTCTTTGACACTGGAGATTTGACATCCATATGCCAGCCCCCTGCTCTCCGCTCCCTCCTGTTGAAGCATCCCTGGTATTTTTGGAGCTGGTATTTTTGTAGTCATTTGGTTTCTTCCCCCACCCCCCCAAGAGCTAAGTAGATTTTATACATTTTTCTTTGTCTTACTTTGGTGAGTTCCTGGAGTCTTTGAAAAGTCATCACTTTTGATGGGTGTGTAACCCCATCTATTCTGGGCTGTACACGTTCCGTCTCCACTGGGATGTAGGTTGTAACCCACCGGGTTTCGAGAGCCAAGGATACAGACAGGCCTGGCATCTGTCCTAATTAAAAAGTGCCTTTGGAGAGACTAAGAATAATGGTCAAATCTATTGAAACGTTCTCCTCGATTTCCTCATTTAAAAAAAATTTCCTTGGGTTCCTGTCATGTAGAGTAACTGAAACACTGGCCACTGACTGCTATTTTAGGCTTTTTTGAAGCCTTATTCTTTTTCTGATTGTGAAACGAATATACTCCATTATTGAAGAACTCAGAAAATACTGAAAAACTATAAATCGTAAAATATAGTCCTCTCATTTTACCAGCCACAGAGGAAACAACTATTATATTTTGGTGAGCACCGTTTTTTGCCATTTCTATACCTGTGACTGTATCTAGATAGGGAGATATGATCCCTATACACAGAAATAACTCTACATACAATGTTGTAAGTTGCTCTTTCACTTAATACTCTATGATCTATCTTTTTATGTCAGTAACGTTAGAATATATCGCCACATTTTGAGTGACTGCAAAGCATTTATCACGGGTTACACTATCATTTCCTTAACCAGATTCCATTTTATTTTCTCACAGATTTTCACTATCTTACACGATGCTGTGATGAGCATTCTTGGACTCATACCTTTATGTACTTGGCCCTTTAACTACTGAGGATAAATCTTAGGGCTAGGTGTGCATGTGAGTATTAAGAACTTTGACAGTTTGTCCCCACAAAGTTCAGATCTGAGAGTGGATGAAAGTGTTTTCTCACGTTCTTGTCACCTGCCAATGACATTAGCACATTTCTGTCCTCCACCTGCCCCCAAAATGGGTAAAAATGGCATCTTATTATTTTACACTGTTTTCTTTCTCTGACCCTTTGTGGGGACAGCGAGTACTCTGTGGCAGGTCGGCTGCATGTTCTGGACTCTCAGCTTCCTGTCTCAGGGCCCTGGCTCCTCTGCCATCAGCAATGTCTGTTCTGAGAGGCCACCGGCAGCATCACCTTCCCCGCAGCCAGAGCACAGTGCCGAGCAACCTCACAGCTGCCCAGCTGGCCCTTGAGTTGATGAGCCAGGGCCCAGGTGAGGAAATGCAGTTAACGGAGCCGGGGCTCATCGTCTGGTGCCCGTAGCCCCAAACCAGAAGCACACGCCTTGCGTGCCAGCACACAACTCTGCACATCGGAAGTCGGTGTTTGATCGTCCGCAAGCCCTGTGATCACAGTGATGAAATCATGGTACTGCCTCTTACATGAATTACGGCCCTTTGAGAGCAGGAGGAGCTCAGGAGCCATGAGCCACCTTCAGCCAGCAGTGGCGCCCGCCCACGACATTCCGCCTGCCATGTGGTTTATGTCGAGATGCAGAGAAATAGCCCAGATCTTGGGGAGGCGAGGAGTGTCATGTAGCAGAGACAGACAAGGCAGGTAACGAGGAGCCTCTCACAGCAATATGGGTCCACGGTGGCACACGGAGGAGGCTTCTTCAGACACAGGCTGTCCCCAGTGGTTTGTGACAACTCATGTGCAGAAACAAGCCCCTGGTGAGAACTCAGCAGACTCCACCCTTGACCTGGGGGACCCTCGGCCTGTCTCTGTCGGCTCTGCCGTGGATTCTCCGCCTCAACTGCCAGGTCAGCTGCAGGGTCCGTCTCTCCTGTACCCTGGTCTGGGATTTGCTCCCCCTGCTTTCCTGGCTCCATGCCCATTGGTCCCCATTGTGGTCACTGACCTCCTCAGCTGACCCTCCTCTGATGGCCACAGGAGTGACACCCCCCAAACCACTGGCTCCCAGATTCCAGGCATCATGGCCTTACAGAGTCAAGTTTGCCTGTCCCCTTGTGCATTCCCACTGTACCTCTTGTGACCCAGGACTCTGCCACCTTTTGTACTCCAGTCTCTGTGCTGGGTGGTCCTTGCAGCTACTTTTATTCAGGTGTGTTGGATATCCTAGTCCCAGAAAAATCAAGTACCACCTGTACTTTTCTCTTCCCTGTGGTTAAATGGAAACTGTTGACATGAATGGGGTAGGGACCTTAAAAATCCTGAATTTTACTCTCTGTTTGACTCATCTATATCATAACGTATGGTGGAAATTATGACATATGTTTCTGGGTAAGTAGTTAGTCATTCTACGGAGTGTCTTTAAACTCCTTATGTCCTTCCTCTTAATCGGGAAGTTGAGGTTTCCAGTTGCCTGCTATGTGTCCCCATAAGGTACTGACATTCCATTTTCAATCCCAAGCAAATTCCCCTCCTTTTCCTAAAGTCAAGAGTTTCCTCCAAAGTAAATTTGCTGGCCTTATATCACTGGGAGCAAGGGATTTAGAACTGTAGCATATGAAATGTGGAAGAGATCCTTTTAGACATTATCAAGATCAATCTCATAGTGATGTGGTAGGCAAAACTGATGTTTATGTCAAGAAAAGAACTGACATCAAGCCGGTCTCTTTTATCAACAACCCCTACTGCCCGAGAAACCCCAACGTCCAGCACACACAACACATGGAGACATGATTCCTTGTACAAAAGTCTAGTGCTGTTGTCTTCCCTGTGTCCTATGTTCAAGCAGCCTCATCCTCAAAAACATCCCTGATTTCCACAAATGGTTGATGACACCCACATTTATTTTTCCAAGTCTGACTTCCCATGGAACTCAGCTCCATACTGGACAGCCATGCCCAGCTGCTCAACGAATGTTCCAAACCAACATGGGCAACACTACTCTCTATCCCCCAACACTTTCTACCAGCACCCCTACCCCACCCAGCCCCTCACATCCAGGCTTTTTTCTTTATTCTGTCTTTGATTAATGAGATCACCACCTACCTTGTGCCTAAGCCAGAAATGTGGAACACTCCACCTCCTCTTTCTTCCTTACCCCTGATATTTTGCATATTAAAGCTGATGTTCCTTTACTGCTGTGTCCTGAAGGGACTGTGGATGTTGCTCCCCCCCACCTCCAGTCTCAGCTGCAACCCTGAGGGATTATCTAGAAACAAGCCTCAGGGATCTGTCTAAAATGCAAATGGGACCCAGGCACTGCTGCTGGAAGTCTTCAGTTCTTCTCTAGCCCATAAGGATGCAGCCCTTGTCTTTCAGGCAGGGCCATTGTCTGTCTTCTGCACTCACATTCTAGTCAGAGGTAACTTGGCATTCACTGCTTCCCGTCGTCTAGACCCTTCAACTTCCATTTCCTCCCACACTCTCCAAATATAGCCTTAAGAACTCCATTGGACACCACTGACCTCCAGTTTTCCCCCTACTCTGCCTGGCCATCTTTCCAAATTTTATTTCTAAATATCTTCATGCTCAGATGTGGTCATGTGTCACATTGACAATTTGTTGTGGGGACAAGGGATTCCAGGACCTTTGGACAAGCCACATCTTGCTGTCCAATAGCCTCACTGGAGGCTCCCACCAGCATAACATCATGTCTGGGAGGAAGCATGTGGTAGACCAGAAGTCTCTGCCACTGAAAGACTCCTTGCACCCTGGGGCACACCCCATTTCCAACACCCTCCATCAGAATACAACCTTACATAATCTAGACAAGCCTCTTGGAAGAGCTCGGTTTTGCCCTAGAAGGCAATCCACTTATAGTTGTGTTGTCATACATTTAATGGGAAAAGAGAAACATTTAAAGCTTGGTGAAATCATGGTGACATGCTTGAGCAAAACATGCCTACAGATGTTGAAAAATATCCTAAATGTCTTGTTAAAATCATATCTAACATCTTGGGAAGGGTATTAACCCTTAATGGTTGTTTAACTTTCTTTCTGTCTTACTGTATTCTTTCTACCACACCTGGAAATGAAAATAAAACTCAGTGGCTTGTATGGGGTGTGTGTGTGTGTCTGTGTGATTTATACAGACACTTCTGTTTCAGCTGAGAAGAGTGTGGCTTTCTACTGGAACCAGGCCAGATGGAGACTTCTCTCTGACTGCCTGAAATGATACAGGGGTTTTTAATGAGGGCAATTATAGCAGAGTCTGACTGTAGCTCAAAGCTAAGACTAATACTGTGTGTGTGTGTGTGTGTGTGTGTGTGTGAGAGAGAGAGAGAGAGAGAGAGAGAGAGAGAGAGGGAGACTCATTAAAATCAAAGCTTCTGGAGAGGGAGGCGGACGTGCCCTCCTGTGGGTGGGGCCCCTCACCTATGGAGGACAGAGTCCGTGGATCTGGGTGAGGTCTGAATATTGGGCAGTGCGGATGCCTTACTTTCTGTTCTCCACATGTAGGCTTTTAAGGATAAAGGGGAGAGTCATCACAGTTGATATATTTCAAAACAGTCATATTTGCATCTCAGATATTTTTGTCTCTCTAAAATGTGTGCTTATGTTCATCAGAAAACTGTGATTTTTTTCAAGTTACAACCATTTAAAGAAACATTTCTATACAGTGGGGACTAATAGTGCTATTTTATGACCTGGTATCCTCAGTTGCAGCTCATC